TATATATATATATATATATATATATATATATATAACCAGACTAGTCTTATGGTTGTACGGCAGTGAAGCATCTGTGTCGACAGTGATGTTGTCTAACATCAATCTCCACGTCAACATAGTTGTTTCAATTATGGCAAAATCTGCACACATCGCAACCGAGATGGTGAGTAGGTCTGTGTGTGGACCTTCAAACGTTGTCACAAGGACTTGTTTCTCAGAAAATGTTGCAAGTCCGATGAGAAAATGCTTCCGACCAGGTAATCTTTCTAGTTTCCTAGTTCATTTGTACAAACGCAACACTCATAAAGTCGCTGAAAACTGTCAATTAAAGAACCAGCATAAACGAGAGATTCAGCTACTTTCCAGGCAAGTCTCCCGTCAAAACCGAGTGCAAATGAGTGTAGTTCAATTGATACTTTACGGCAGAGTATACCGTTGTTCGATTGTTGAACTGGTGAGACATTTTTTAATTTCCTTGGTCAGACTAATGAACTAATGAGATCCTCGGTAACTGCTCAGGATCTCTCAACACGGGGAATAAAGTGTCTAACTCTACGTAATGATCGAAGTACACCTGTTTGCACACCAGGTTGATAATCACCGAAGACTCTAGAATTCCTTGAGCTTCTTCAACTGAATGTGCTGCACAAAGGCTAGTGTCTCATGTTCCAGTTGGTACGATATTTGAGATATCACAGCATAATTTCCTCGAAGGAACATAACTCATAAGACTGTTGAAAACTAGCGAACTACACTCATTCGTAAACTAATTTGACTCACCTGGAACCCAGCTGAATCCCTCGTTTCCGATGTTTCGATGAATTTTCAGCAACCCTATGAGTAGTGCATTACCGTTAAAAACTCAAGTAGGACCGAATAATGGATTCACAAACGAAGAAACAAGGAACTTCTCGGAGTCAAATCAATAAAGGTCACAACCGGAACTCGGAAGGACAAAGGTCACTCCAGCATCGACCAGACTACGACGGCGAGGGATGCCAAGTTCAAAAGTCACGTGGGGATCGGCGAATGAGGACACGGGATAAAAAGAACAACCAATGGAACCGCCCGACAGAATAACTAATCGCGGGGAAGGTCTCGCCCTGCGTGGTTTTTACGGCGAAATATTGGCGTTTCATCGATCTCGTCGCGTAGACTTGAGCCGCTGATAACTGCTGGAGTCTACAAGAGCCACCAGGCGCAAACTTCGCGAAGAAAGTTCTTCCAGTCAACAGCGGTCGTAGGGCTAATAGATAATTCCTCTGAACAGAATTTGATTTTCACCAAATTTTTGAACCAGAAATAAATGAATACAAGCAGCGCGCGGCTCACCAGACAACTGTTTCGGTTTTCATACAGGGTTTCAGGAAGACGTGAATTGTAGCATGCTCCTCAATCATGATTTTGCAACCCTTGTCTCTTTCAGTGTTCCTTCACGTACGTGGTACGAACAGTTGAACTCACGCGGATACCCTGAAACGGCGAAACTTGGAACAGCAAAATATCAGTGCACGGAAAATGCATCAAATAGCTTTTAAAAACACGCCATCTTTTTAGGGAAAAGATGTCAGAACATCTTCACCTTATCGGTTTTATACGACTGTCACAATCCTGGACGGATATCCTGTCGATAGAATATTCTTGACAGATTGAAAGTGGCACGAACCGACACCAAACTGATCACGATATTTGAGGGTGATGAAGTAAAATAATCCACAGGAAATTTATCCGGCATCAAATAACAGAAGTGAACTGTTTCTATGAAGGAAACTACTCACAAGGTTGCTGAAAACTCTGTGACAGCCCACGACCGGTTTCGCCCTTCTTGGGGCTCATCAGGTAGGCGCAGTCCCCGAGTTTCCGTCAACCTTATGATCTACTTGAACCCGAATAGCTCTGTTATTCGAGAAATACACTAATCTGCAAATCAATTTATCAATTTGCTTTTCACGAGAGACTCAATTGAATCTCTCGTTTATGTGTTCGTGAACTGTCTAATTCCTGTACGAAATAATGGGCTACTGTTAATCTCTGCTGGCTTTCTCCACATAGGATGGTCACATGAGCATGCAGTCATCTACGCAGGTAAATATGTACTCACGTTTAGCTGGTTGCCCTGATGAGTGCAGGACACATGCAGGATCACCACAAATTACGCTGAGCAGTCGGGAATACGAATGCGACCTAGTAGGTGAGTCAGACACCAGCTGTGCAGGAGAACGAGGGCTGGCAGTTCGACTCGCTAGCGAATGAAACATGAGTTGTTGTCGAAACTGACCAATCAGCAGAGACGACTGTCTGAGATCATTTTGGAGGCAGGCTGTGTCACATTACCGACCGGTGAAAACTCTGGCCTAACTAACTAATCGGATTTAATGCTGTGTTTCCAAAAAAGTTACATGCCTAACAACCTTGAGGTGACATTGAGGGGATTCTATCACGACTTGATTTGCGAATAATCCGGCCCGCACCCAGCGCACGTTCTGTGCTCGATATCGTGGTTTTCTCAGACATTTTCAACATGCTCACCAGCTATGGAACTGCACGAATTGCGTTGTCCCTGCCTTCAAGCCGGCGTGAACAGACAAGCTGTTTTGAGGCTACCCGGTAGTGAATCTTTTCCAGATAAGCCCCGCAAAAAAATTAACCCCCGCCACCCAAAAAAGATTAGAAAAAAGAGACTATGAAATTTGTACTTTTAGCTTTTATTGAAGAGGGTGAAATTGGGGCATTTCATCGATAATTTGCATAAGAAAGTCCGTTTTTCGGTACCTTTGCCTCCAAACTNATTTGATTTTCACCAAATTTTTGAACCAGAAATAAATGAATACAATTCTTGTCCCAAACTCCATCCTAGACCGCTCCAGCCAAGTTCTCTTTCGAAGACCGATTTCTTGCTGACACTGTCGGGCATTACACCTTCACCTGTCAGAAGCAGTTGAAAGTGTCATTTGGTGGCCATCGTTGCATATATGTTGCTGATGGATCACTCCGTGTCTTTGCAAAAAACGTATTGCGTTCTCCTTATCATGAACGAGCGTTGAAAGCGTCAGAAAGTTCAGCTGAGGTATTACGTCCACACGGGGAAAATGTTTGCACAAAATGAGCCTAGATGCGAATAGGGAATTGTTTTCATCAAAAATAGGTCAAGGCTGTGTGCATGCTCAAAAAAGTGGTGGGGCTTAACTTTTCGCACATGCACTTTTCGCATTAGTGGCGGGGCTTATCTGGAAAAGATCCCCGTTTATTTCGCTGTAAAAGTGAAGGGATTTACTACGCCGATCTGAATTTGATTTGTCAATAGATTTTGCCAAAACGCCCTTCCACACTTCATGGCCAAAGAACGGTATGTTCTTCCCCACACCCCTGTATGACATCTATGTCTGTAGCAAGATAACTTGTACACACTTTGCTCGTTTCTAGGTTTGGAAAAATCATACTGAATAATACATATTGACCCAGGAATCCACCACATATCCGACGTATATAAGTAAACTGGATTTTTCCGCGAACTGTTGATATCTGCTCTGCCATCTGTTGCGTGTAGTGTCCTTACATGTGGCGTAACCTAATCGCCGCAACTGCAAAGGAGGAACACGAAAACGGCCCCCACAATGGCTGAAAGTAAGCCATGGGATTGGTACACGTTGAACAATGTCTTGCTGGTGTCGGCTACATCACGCTCACTCGCTTTAAGAGACAGCCGGCTGAACTTAACATGGGGTTTGGGAATTCCACACGGCAATCATCTCGAAAACAGTAAGACAACAAACAAATCTGATGAGGATAGTTTTAAAAATCAAGTGGAAAAGTTGAAACCGTTTGTGCTGCAAACCAAGAATCGCTCCCTGGAGCTGTCGGTAACGTGTACAACTTGCGAAAGAACACCCTTCGATGGCGGATTGATAGCGGAGTCATTCGTTGTCATTCACTGCCGGTGCACCGGTGATGGTGAGACTTGGTGCACTAAAACGTTCGATGAACTGGTGTTCCACCAAACTGCACTGATGCACATTTCGGAAGTTTTTTTGGACTGCCCCATTTGAGGCCAGCTCCAATCGGTATTCTGGGCAGGCGGTCGTGCACATAGTTTGGCCGTATTTCTCTTGAAAAAATTTGTGTACCGTGTTTGTGCAAGAACATCTTGTTCCTCGTTGTACAATACTTTCGACAGATTGGTGGATACTGCAAACGAACTGCCAAAATGTTTACACTCACCATCCTAACAAGATTATAGACCATCACACTATGTGTTCATTCTGTGGGAAAAGTTGGTTCTAGTCTCCTATGGGGCACTTCATTCAACTGAACAAACTGAGTGGCTTTTGTGAATGCGTCTTACGTGTAGAGTAACCGGTCAGACGCTCAAGAACCTCCGACACTCACAAACCAATTGGTCGACCTGATTCTAACATTCTGACGTAAAAGAAGTCGTTGTACAATACTTTCGACAGATTGGTGGATACTGCACTTTGAACATAGGAGTTCATGTACTTTAAACTATAAAGTAGACAGAATGTAACTGCTCTGTCCTCCTTCTGACAAAATCAGCTTTGCTCTTATTTACCCCTCCTGCTCTCATAGTCTGCGTAGGCTCTTGTGGTCACAAACTGGTGCAAAATTCTGATTGGCTGTACCCACCATCCGAATGGACGCTTTTTCATTGCTACAATGACTTTGTTGACAAATGTTCATTTCTGGCATCGGTGAGTTTTGCTCATGGTGAATGAGGATGACTACGATGAACACGTAGAAAAATCGAAGTAGTTGGGCATCGAATTCAAATGTGTGAGGATGACGATGCGTAGTGTAGTGAGGCACTGATTGGTTAACTTTCATTGTGAATATTTTCTGCGTTCGATCCGCCCTTCGATTTCTGGTACCAGTTATCTGCATCAACTCCTGTGGCCTCGCCATCACCTGTAAACTAGTCTCCAACTCCGCTAGTGTACAATATACGAATTAATGTTGCTGTAAACTGATTTTGTGATCAGTGGTGCTCTTTGTTACCACTCGTCAGCAGGCAACTACGGAAGCAACTAAATAGGTCATAAAGAAGGGGACCCTAGGATATGATGATGATTGTTCAAGCATCGCACACCGGTTGTTGACTTATCCAGAGCGTCTGAACTTCACTGGACAATACGAGTGTTCCTTGTGATTTGTCGCCGATCCATACAAAGAAAGTAAAAATTAACAAGAAATATACGAATTACGCTCATTTGCACAATAATTTGGTTTTAAAGGAGGACGCGAACTAATCCTAGCAGAAATTCTGCTACGACCTACTTATATTCCGGGACAACGCTCATCTGACGAGCTCCAAGAAAGGTGAATCTGATCAGGGGTGGTCGAAATGTTTTCAGCAAACTGATGAGTAGTTTTAGGGCAACATGGCTCAATGGTTAGAGCGCGGATTCACTGACCGGAAGGTCCGTTGTTCGGACTTGACCTCTAATTCTCGACTTCCCCTGTCTAGGAGCAGGAAACTACGGAAGCATATAAGTAGGTCGTGACAGGGGGGACGCTAGAATACAATGATGATTGTTCAAGCATCGCACACCGGGTGTTGACTTATCCAGAGAGTCTGAACTTCATTGGACAATACGAGTGTTCCTTGTGATTTGTCGCCGATCCATACAAAGAAAGTAAAAATTAACAAGAAATATACGAATTACGCTCATTTGCACAATAATTTGGTTTTAAAGGAGGACGCGAACTAATCCTAGCAGAAATTCTGCTACGACCTACTTATATTCCGGGACAACGCTCATCTGACGAGCTCCAAGAAAGGTGAATCTGATCAGGGGTGGTCGAAATGTTTTCAGCAAACTTATGAGTAGTTTTAGGGCAACATGGCTCAATGGTTAGAGCGCGGATTCACTGACCGGAAGGTCCGTTGTTCGGACTTGACCTCTGGTTCTCGACTTCCCCTGTCTAGGCTTGGGCGATCTGGCATTATTCAAGCCCTCGTGCTCCCTTCTGGTGGCATGGAAGTTAGGCATCGACAGGGTGCTTTAGCTGATCGACTTCTACGATGACTATTTTCCTTCAGGAAATAGCAAGAAATACGTTCGACACTTTAAAGGAGGTCTGTTGAAAGATGTGTTTGGATTCCGCAAAGCTAAGGCGAAAAGAGACACTCCTTCTTATAACTCAACATGTTGGCACGAATGGATCAGGTGCGTCAACAATTTTAAAACGCCACACACCTGGATGAGTCTGAATAAGGAAGAAAGACTTCTTGTGGTCAAAATTTCCACACCATATATTGACATTAAACTTTCGGTACATTTCTTAGTTCATGATTAGTAGCTTCCGGAACTTCCACAAAGGTCAAGGCCGTTTGGATGTTCACCTGACTGTTTCAGTATCGAATTACACAAAAAGTTCGATAGAACGTTCACCATGACAGTGAACTCAGAAAACATATAGAGATAGCTAATTCATCCCCCGACTAATCTCTGATTCCGTCAGGCAGTAAAACGTTTCTCGTGAACCTCAAGCCGTCACAAAAAGTCTTTTAAATAACACAAAAGCGAGCAATTAAATTTATATATTTTTGTACCAATGACCTCCCGGCCAGTCGTTGAGCACTTAACCATCAATCCATAGGTAGCACAGAGGGAGAATAATTTCAAAAGATGAGTAAAACCTCCATTTCAGAGGTCGCCACTCCTGAGGCCAGTCAATAGGTGACCACGTGATGAAGTTTCAGTGAATAAATGATGAGTGGTGCCATATATTGTGTAAGCAAGAGCTAACGATACTATTCGGATGCTCCAGATCAAGCGATTATGTATATAACCATTGACCAGAAAAGCAAAGGTTTATAAATCGCTGAGTTTCGTGGACACACACTGCTGATGTTGCCTAGAACGGTCTCACTGACAGGATGAGAGCCCAATTAGAAAGCCGGTTTATCAGTTGAACTTACTGCTCGTCTGGATTTCAGTTTCTGTTCGGGAGCTGGTAACATGTCATGGTCACGAGCGGAACAGCGCCCGTAGACCCATACCACCGAACTGTCCAAAAGGCACTATTGGTTTAGCGAAACCGGCAGTCGCGTTTGCTTTTGAAACGTATGAACTAATTTAAGGATTTCTGGTTCATTCTGTAACCAGCACATCCATAGGGAGAACATTACGCCCTAGAAGTTTGTGCACCACAACGGAGACAAGTTTATTATTTCTAAATCTGATGTTCCGGAGAAAGTTCCTCGAACTCTTGTTTGATTGCGCGGGACAGACGAAAGAAAA